AATAACACCAGTCCAAATCAAATACCATACTGTTTTAGATGAAGTGACGGCATACAAAGAGGCGCTGTAGTTTGATCATAAATCAGCTTGAATATATAATCTCTGTTAAGGAAACGGAGTTACCCTGATAGACTTATGATCAAACTACAGCGCCTCTTTGTATGCCGTCACTTCATCTAAAACGGTATGGTATTTGATTTGGACTGGTGTTATTAACCATTTGGATGTTAGGTAAATAACTGCAATGGTATCCAGTCATATTGTTGTGCGCAGTACATTTCACTCCAATAGGCATTAATTACAGCTGAGCATATATGTTTTATATATTTGAATAAAGGTTATATAGATTCATCAATTGGCCAGATGGTGTGCAGGCAAACGCACCCTTGTCCAGTATAGATTAGTTATTTGCCAAAAAGATGAGGATTTACAATTAGGGCTTAGTTCAATAGTTTAAAGTATCAAAATAGGCTTTTTGATACACCCTTGTTCATTCCAAAAAGCACCCAAGATAGGTTTGAGATTAAGTACTGGTTGGTTGTCTAGGTGTGCAAGATCATGTGAGCAGGTAGGGCATTAAATCACACATGGATGGCAGCAAATCAAATGATTTTAAGGGGAAGGGTGTTGAAATGGATGCCTACAGAATTGTACATGGGGCATATAATGAAGATTATTAGTTTTGCCTGAAGTCCCATTTTAAAGAGCTAGAAAATATTCTTTAAAGCCCAATTTTAGCTAAAATCAGCACACGGGACATAACTTACCGTTAGTATGATGGGACCCTTGTGTTGATTCTTCTTCTTTCAGGAATAATCTTCCTCTGTCTCTGACACTCTGACACCTTCAACCCCCCCCCCCCCCCCACCCAAATCCAGAATCTTCCAGTGTGGCGGAGGTCAATACATCTTAAGGCTGTCAGGAGCTTTCATCAAGAGAACTTGACTATGCTCACCCTTACCTGCTTTTATGAATGACACAGGATCTCTTAATGGAGAGGGCGGAGCTATCATCTGCCTGTCCAATATTCAGAAATCCTAAGTCATTCATAGAAGCTTTAGTATGGTCTCCATTAATGGTGGATCTGTTAGGTAAGGGTGAGCATAGTCAAGCTCTCTTGATAAGAGGTACTGATAGGCCTACTAACCTCTGCTGCCATGATCTTCTGGGGGCAGAGACAAAAGAAGATTTTTTCCTGAAAATAGAATCAACACAAGGGACACATCATGCTAACTGCAAGTTATGAAACAAAAAAAAATCTGGTGCATCCTTTTTTCAATATGCATTTGTTACCAGGATCCTCAGATGTGTCCAGTTCTGATAAAATCATCTGTTACTACAGAAATAAGCACAGTTTAGAGCCAATTCACACATGACTACTCACCTGCTGCTCCATTGCCATTGCCAACCACAACTAAGGCGCTTACAGTTCTCTTCCTTCCCTCTTTGGCTGTCATGTTGAATACACCTTTCAGCTATAGTACATGAAACAGCTCAGCATTAATTGCAGTCGCTCATACAAGTCACAGAAAAATGCATTAGACATTATGTATATTTTTGTTAAATTCTCTGTCATTTTTTACTGCATTCTGAAAATACTACTGAAGAAGAATCATTAATTCTCTTGAAGCCTGGTAAAGGTTCATAGGCAAATGGAAATGCATTGTAACTTCATAGGACTTGCATGGTAAATAACAGCAAAAATACAAAAGTTGTTGGTGATGACACTGGTCTGAAGCTTGTACCTATCAACTTGGCAGTGCTTAGTGCTACTTTATAGTATCCAGGCATGACTGATACCCTGATGAAGTCATGTGACATAACACGTACGGAGAAGCCGATGACGTCAAGTCGCAATACTGGCAGTGAGCCACCATTTTGTGAGTAACAAGCACATACAGTTTTCTCAAAGTGTTACTAAACCCACAAATGTAAAATCAGTCTGTATATGCAGTAAAGCATGCCTGTTATACTCACTGTGGAACCTAAGGGGTTAATCCTCTGCATTGTGTAAAAAGGATGTTTTTGATCCTGTCTTCTCTGCTCTTCCTCTTGTTCAAATGCCCACACTGATGAACCCATGGCCTTCTGCACATGCTCAGTTTAGTGCATTGCTAGAGAGGTTTTTTTTTTTCTTGGGAGAGTGCATGTGATCAGCATACAGCCAATCAGCACTGTCCAGACAGAGTTCAGGGGATTGCCATCCTCCTAGAGAAAACTCCTCCTACAAACTTTAACCAGTGCTCAGCTGAATTCACAAGACTGCTATATACTGCTGATGAGAAAAGGTATTTAGCAGTTTATATTTACTAAAATAATTGCACTTCCATGTTGTGTGTACTCTGGGAGACCAGATATAGTGAATGCAGGGTCCTGGGTTTAGTACCACTTTAAGGGGAAAGCTGCGGTTTTACTGTGGTGCACCAGATATATGCACATTTGATTGTGAGTAGTATTTTGTTAAACTTTAATAAAATATTGGCGGGAAACAAAGTGCTATGATGGTTTATCTCTTTTGAGCCTCAGATGAAAAAATTCCTAAAAAGGGATGTGGATGGATCTGGATTGACTTCTGTTGAGGTGCTGAGTAGGAAACCAGTTGTGCCTATACCAATCCTGGTTAAAGGGGAAAGCGCATTTTGAGCTAAAACATACTTGGATCATATACAGAAGGTGAGAGCATCTGCACATTGGTGACGGAATTGCACAATGTATGGTGTTTTATGAACATGACTGTATGTACTGATATCATGGCTATTTAATATTCAGTTATTGGAAAACAAGTGGAAATAAGGACACGAGCATCATTATACTGATCATATGTATTCAATTTGTAATGTACAGCGCTGAGTGAACTATTGGCGCTTTATAAATACTGTATAATAATAATAATGACTCACTTTATTTGCTATATATATTTTGCTTTTGTATTGTATTTTTTTTTTTTAAGACTCCATGCACACTAGTGTATTTTTAAGCTCCTAGAAGCTAATAGTGTTATCCTATGTGTCCATGCACCTTTTTTTAGGCTAGTAGTATTTTTCAAGCTTCAGAGCTTAGGAGTAGAAAAAAAAGGTTTTGGGGATGGTTTTTCCAGAAATAAAATGCTGCATGCTCCTAAATGCTCATAGCAGTTTTTTTCCCCCTACATGTACTGCGCTACTAAAATGCTACTAAAAAACACTGCTAAAACCCACTATTACCATCTTTTTTTAAGCTCCTAAATGCTACTAAAAACGCTCCTAACAGCTTTTTTTCCCTACATGTACTGTAAAAACGCAAATAAAACGCTAACATTCTTAAACGCTTCTAAAAACCACTATTTTTATCCATCATTTTTTTGAAAAGCTAGTGTGCATGGTACCTAAATGGTGACACTGGTGGGTGTAGGTGTGGATACTGTGCGTCACTGCTAAAGTATTATCCAGTCATTTATTATTTATTTCAGGTACTTATATAGCGCCATCAATTTACGCAGCGCTTTACATATATATTGTACATTCACATCAGTCACTAACTCTCAAGGGGCTTACAATCTAAGGTCCCTAACGCACATTCATACATACACATACTATAGGGCCAATTTAGACAGGAGCCAATTCACCTACTAGCATGTCTTTGGAATGTGGGTGGAAACTGGACTACCCGGAGGAACCCATGTAGGCACAGGGAGAACATGCAAATTCCAGGCAGGTGGTGCCATGGTTGGGATTTGAACCAACGACCCTAGTGCTGCCAGGTGGAAGTGCTAACCATTTAGCCACTGTGCTGCCCTGTCATGGCTCATACATCAGTATTCTCAGAACTTCAGTACCACTCCCTTTATTGTGTACTCATAAGGCACTGCGCATTGAGGCTGCTGTAGTAAAGATTTGCAATAAAATAGCAGTCTGTTGAATTTAGAGATGTGAAATCAAAGCCACTTTGTAAATGTTTTTGCAGCTGGCTACTACATTGTGGGACGATTTGTCCAGATCTGCTTTACACCATCACTGCTCTTTGTACTAGATCACTGCACAAACCTAAAGATCTACACATCAGTCCCAGGTTTGTCATTTTCATTATTCATCCAGCAGGTGGCAGTATCACAACATATTTCCAAAAGACTTTAAACACACTTTAAAATGACTTTTGAAGAAATCTGATCCATTTTCTTACAACAACACTATTGCAGCAAGTCTCTTTGGTGCTACAAAACAGTCCTTACTTTCCTTTTCTGCTCTTTTCTTTGCTCTGCTGTTGTTGCGGCACAGTTCTCTAAACACATGTTTGGAAAGACCCGCTAAGAACTATGTATTTTTGATGTCGGTAATGTTAGCGTGTTGTAACTAAAGTGCCTGTTTGTGTTCGCTGACAGCCATTGAAAAGGAAAAAAGGTCAGTACAAACTGCACTCCATGATTTGTCTGTGACCTTTCCTTGCCACTCAATCCATACAGGCTAGCATCTGCAGCACTGGAATATGATGAATCAAGGATGTTACAGTGATTAATATCATAAATGGTATGAGATTAAAACACAAATAATATCTAAATGTCTATAGGCACATTTTATACATGATGGATGTGAATTGCTAATGGGAAACTTCCTTTTGAAATCACTCAACAGCCAAACTGTTTCAGCCAGTTATTAAATGTGTGCCTGTCAACCGGGTTTATGCTACTACCATGGTTAGCCGGAAAAGATTCTTTGGTGGATGCACCTCTTGGGTACTTGTTTTCAGGGCTCCCCCCCCCAAGAGAAAACCCCCAGCAACAATAAATCCTCCCCTGCAACAACAGACCCCCCCAGAAATAGATTCACCCCAGCAACAATAACTTACAGGCAGTGGTGCCTCGAGGCAGGTGCGGGGGTGACACCGACCGCACGGGGTGACACTGGACCCGCTCCACAAAAAGGTAAGTTGTAAAGCAAGCCGACGATCCCCGCAGGATGGATCCGATCCGATCCATACCCTGCGGGGCTCGTCAGCTTTCTTTACAACTTACCTTTTCTTGGAGCGGGTCCGGTGTTACCCTGTATAGGTTGCATGCCGACGATCCATCCTGCAGGGCTCGTCGGCTTTCTTTACAACTTACCTTTTCTTGGAGCGGGTCCAGTGTCACCCCATATAGGTTGCATACCGACAATCCTGCGGGGATTGTCGGCATGCAACCTATACGGGGTGACACCGGACCCGCTCCAAGATAAGGTAAGTTGTAAAAAAAGCCAACGATCTCCGCAGGATGATTCGGATCTGCGGATTGAGCATAATGGATCGGAGTCCGATCCATTATGCTCAATCCGCAGATCCTATCCACTCTGCGGGGATCGTCATAGGGGGTGTCACCAAGTGTTACCGCACCGGGTGACACCAACCCTAGGGATGCCTCTGCTTCCAGGGGCCATCAAAAATAGACCCTCCAGCTGCCAGAAACAATAGACCCCTGCCTCAACAGCAGATCTCTCCCAGCAAACAATAGATCCCCAACAACAGACCCTCAGAAACAATAGATCCCCAAGTAGCTAGCATCAATAGACCCTCTGGCACACCCCTGCACATCTTGCGATTATATACATTTAGTGCTGGAGGTGCAGGAGCTGCGTTCCACAAGTTCCTGATGAAAAAAAGCCCTACTTGATTTACTTTACTACTAAAGGCTTCAATTTTGTGTGCCAAGCCAGGATCTATGCCCCCCCCCTTCCCAATCAGCCATTCTCCCTTTAAACAAGAATGTCCTTATTAGTATATGAGGTGCTCTGTTTGAACAGGGGGCCAGTTGGTGGACAAACTATTCTGGCAAAAATGTAATAGCAAGGTACCTTGTGTTTCCAACTCTTAGGCAGGACTTCTTCCTAAAGTTTAAAATGCCAGAGAGGTCTAGTTTAAAGTATTAATTCCGCAATAAACCTAACTAGTTTTAAAAAGCTCCCTTCTCTTAAAACCTATGCTGATCAACCTGTGTAAGAAAGGTGTAGATTTACCTATTTTCAGCCCACTCTGGTCTGCTCGTTCAGGGAGGACGTCATATGATGCCCTCCTCAAACTGGACAACCGCGCTGTCACCATCATTCAGCTATATTGCGGCTGTAAAGTGGTTAAAAATGGGCAATGACATTCAGTGGTGGCAAGTAAGAGAGCCTGTCTGTATAAACTGCTCCCTCACTGTATACACTGCTCTTCTCCTTTTCATTTTGGTACACCACTAATATAAATATATATATATATATATATATATATATATATATATATATATATATATATATAAAAAAAATAATAATATACACACACACACACACTTACCCTAATGTTTAGCATTTCAGCATATAAGTAGTTACTTGATGATCTCAACTACTGTGTTTGTAAAGATAAGCACCAAGCAGACCAGGGAATTTACTATATGCCAGATGGAACTTCTTGGATGAAGATCCCACAGCCTATGAGCAGCAGCACAGTAAGGCAAAAATGGAGTATATATAATGGTAGTGTGTTCTTTATTAGTATTTTATTGCCATGATATTGAGGGATCCTATAACTGAACAGATCTTAACTTATTGCAATTTTGACTACTAAAGGTAACAGAGATATCTGTCATGCATGCTTGGAGGTATGCCATAAGTATTCAGACCCTCTAAAACAACACTTGAAATTTAGCTCAGGTGCCTTCCATTGCTTTTGATCGTTGATGAGATTTTTCTACACCTTGAACTCATGAAAGCCCTCTTGGAGTTTGCAAATGCTTTTTTGCACACTCCAAGTGGGCTTTCATGTGTTTTTCACTGAGGAGAGGCTTCCATCTAGCCACTCTGCCATAAAGCCCAGATCAGTGGAGGGCTGCAGGGATGGTTTGCTTCTGGGACTTTGTCCTGTCTCCACACAGGATTTCTGGAGCTCAGGATTTCTGGAGCTCAGCTTTCTTTACAACTTACCTTTTCTTGGAGCGGGTCCGGTGTTACCATGTATAGGTTGCATTCCGACAATCCATCCTGCAGGGCTCGTTGGCTTTCTTTACAACTTACCTTTTCTTGGAGCGTGTCTGGTGTTACCCTGTATAGGTTGCATGCCGACAATCCTGCAGGGATTGTCGGCATGCAACCTATACGGGGTGACACCAGACCCGCTCCAAGAAAAGGTAAACTGTAAAAAAAACCAACGTTCCCCCGCAGGATGATTCAGATCTGCGGATTGAGCATAATGGATTGGAGTCCGATCCATTATGCTCAATCCGCAGATCCGATCCATTCTGCGGGGATCGTCGGAGGGGGTGTCACCAAGTGTTACCGCACCGGGTGACACCAACCCTAGGGATGCCTCTGCTTCCAGGGGCCATCATCAATAGACCCTCCAGCTGCCAGAAACAATAGACCCCTGCCTCAACAGCAGATCTCTCCCAGCAACAATAGATCCCCAACAACAGACCCTCAGAAACAATAGATCCCCAAGTAGCCAGCATCAATAGACCCTCTGGCACACCCCTGCACATCTTGCCATTACATACATTTAGTGCTGGAGGTGCAGGAACTGCGTTTCCCCAAGTTCCTGATGAAAAAAAAGCCCTACTTGATTTACTTTTACGACTTTGTGTGCAAAGCCAGGATCTATGCCCCCCCCCCCCTTCCCAATCAGCCATTCCCCTTTTAAACAAGAATGTCCTTATTAGTATATGAGGTGCTCTGTTTGAACAGGGGGCCAGTTGGTGGACAAGCTATGCTGGCAAAAATGGAATAGCAAGGTACCTTGTGTTTCCAACTCTTAGGCAGGACTTCTTCCTAAAGTTTAAAATGCCAGAGAGGTCTAGTTTAAAGTATAAATTCCGCGATAAACCTAACTAGTTTTAAAAAGCTCCCTTCTCTTAAAACCTATGCTGATCAACCTGTGTAAGAAAGATGTAGATTTACCTATTTTCAGCCCACTCTGGTCTGCTCGTTCAGGGAGGACGTCATATGATGCCCTCCTCAAACTGGACAACCGTGCTGTCAACATCATTCAGCTATAGTGCGGCTGTAAAGTGGTTAAAAATGGGCAATGACATTCAGTGGTGGCAAGTAAGGGAGCCTGTCTGTATACACTGCTCCTCTCCTTTTCATTTTGGTACACCACTAATATAAATATATAATAATAATTATATATATATATATATATATATATATATATATATATATATATATATATATACACACATACATACAGTTGTGTTCAAAATAATCGCAGTCAGACATCACTAACTTGATCAATCACTGTTTTTGGTAGAAATGATATTTCTACATGGCAAATAATTTACTAGCAGGTGTAGTAGAGTAATAGAAATCCAACAGACCCAACAGTCATGACATGCATGCTGCTGATTCTGTGTAATTGAATCACTAATTGAAAGGGGCATGTTCAAAATAATACCAGTGTGGAGTTCTATTAGTGAGGTCACTCATTCTTTGAAAAACAGGTGGCAATTATTGCCCTTATTTAAGGAAGGAAGGCAGAAAATGTTGTACATGCTGGTTACAGTGCATTTCTCTCTGAAATTCTGAGGAAAATGGGTCGTTCCAGACATTGTTCAGAAGAACAGCGTACCTTGATTAAAAAGTTGATTGGAGAGGGAAAACATATAAAGAAGTGCAGAAAATGATAGGCTGCTCAGCTAAAATGATCGCAAATGCTTTAAAATGGCAACCAAAACCTGAAAGACGTGGAAGAAAGCGAAAAAACTACCATTCAAATGGATAGAAGAATAGCCAAAATGGCAAGGACTCAGCCAACAATCAGCTCCAGGAAGATCAAAGAAGGTCTAAAGTTACCTGTGAGTACTGCTACAATTAGAAGACGCCTACAGTATGTGAAGCCAAGCTATCTGCAAGAAGCCCCTTCAAAGTCCCACTGTTGAAAAAAAAGAAGTGCTGAAGAGGTTACAATTTGCAAAGAGCACATTGACTGGCCTAAAGAGAAATGGCGCAACATTTTGTGGACTGATGAAAGTAAGATTGTTCTTTTTGGGTCTAGTGGCCGGAGACAGTTTGTCAGACGACCCCCAAACACTGAATTCAAGCCACAGTACACTGTGAAGACAGTGAAACATGGTTGCGCAAGCATCATGATATGGGGATGTTTCTTATACTACGGTGTTGGGCCTATTTATCGCATACCAGGGATCATGGATCAGTTTGAATACATCAGAATACTTGAAGAGGTCATGCTGCCTTATGCTGAAGAGGAAATGCCCTTGAAATGGGTGTTCCAACAAGACAACGACCCCAAACACACCAGTAAATGTGCAACATCTTGGTTCCAGACCATCGAGATTGATTTTATGGAGTGACCAGCCCAATCCACAGATCCTAATCCAATAGAAAACTTGTGGGGGGACATCAAAAATGCAGTTTCTGAGGCAAAACCAAGAAATAGAGAAGAACTGTGGAATGTAGTCCAATTATCCTGGGCTGGAATACCTGTTCACAGGTGCCAGAAGGTGGTTGAATCCATCCAACACAGATGTACAGCAGTTCTCAGAAACAGTGGTTATACAACTAAATATTAATTAAGTGATTCAAAGGAAAGCCAAATCTTCACATTTTCAGTTTATATAGTGAATGTTTGAGTTTGTAAAGAAGAATACAAACACTGCTATTTTTTTGAACAGTCTAATATTCACTTTTCTTCAATTTTTTAGAGGAACAACACAAATTTGATATATTTTTCTTCATGTTTTGATCTGGAATAGAATGTGTAGTGTTCCCAATGCATTTGTGTGTATGGAAATAAAACCTATTAGAAGGATTTTGAGCTTTGTTCACTTTTTTCAACACATTGCTATTATTTTGAACACAACTGTACATATACACACACACACACACACACACACACACACTTACCCTAATGTTTAGCGTTTCAGCATATAAGTAGTTACTTGATGATCTCAACTACTGTGTAAAGATAAGCACCAAGCAGACCAGGGAATTTACTATATGCCAGATGGAACTTCTTGGATGAAGATCCCAAAGCCTATGAGCAGCAGCACAGTACGGCAAAAATGGAGTATATATAATGGTAGTGTGTTCTTTATTAGTATTTTATTGCCATGATGCCATGATATTGAGGGATCCTATAACTGAACAGATCTTAACTTATTGCAATTTTGACTACTAAAGGTAACAGAGATATCTGTCATGCATGCTTGGAGGTATGCCTGTGTTTCATGAGTTTACATATGTATGGCGCATAGAACATGGCATAAAAGTAGAAAATAGAGTACAAGAATCTTCAAATCAATGCTTTGTTAATGAAGTTTATTATGGGTAAAATTTAGATTTTTAATTTTGATAACTTGTTAATATGAGGATAACACTGAGCATATGTGTAATGGGCAGTATGTTGTCGTTCATATAGGACTCAGATAGCATTATTTTATTGTAAATCTATAGCTGTATTAGTAGTATAATGTATAGACGCATTTTATACTTTTTATTTTCTGTTATAACTGTATGTTTTTATTGTATTTGTGTTTTTGGGTGTAGTAAGATGGCTGTAGCATCAAGTTAAGGATATATCAGAAGTCGTGTACACCATTTTTGGAGTCTTAAGATGGCAGAAACAGGAAGAAGTGATTCTTAGGACTTATAGTTAGTGATGTCAAGCATGAGAGCAGGAAGTGCATTGTTGGGAGTAGTAGGAGGAGTTACTGCACTAATGGGATATGGCTCAAGCCTCTGATGACACCCTGTGGGAGGGGCAAAATGCATTAGCCAGAGACCATTACTGAAGTCACATCCAGCTGGTGGAGAGCACCCTGCATCGGTACTTCCGGTTAGGTACACAAGCTTTTGAATATGTCTTTTTAAATGAATGTAAACCAATTTTGAAAAAGTTTTTAATAAACTGGAGTCACACTATGGCTGCCCTTCTTACTATTTGTTCTATATCTAAACTTCAACCATGAGGAGATGAGATCAAGCAGTGAAAAAACTACAAAGCCCAGAAGTTTCAATTTGTTTTCACTGTGAAGGACACACGCACCAGGGATTTCTTTAATCCTATATGCCTGGAGGAGAAAACCCAGGAAACACCATAGAGAGGAGGATTGTAAATCCCAGCAAGCACAGGATGTCTGCAATCTAAAGCGCAACTGACTTCTAACATTCATTTGTTGGGGTCAACAACACTTGGTGAGCGTGGGAACATTTGAGGGAGCACATTTGATGATTTCAAGTCTGAAGAGCACTGTACAGTGATTCTGGCACTCATTGATGGGGATGAATATTGCACAACTTCACTATAGACTGCACAGTTATCTGAACTTTGATTTTGATTTGATTTTGCACAGGCACTGCATATATGCCAATTGTGTAGGGCAGTGCTTTGAGTTGTTACATCTTGTTTTAAAGGATTAGAAAGGTTTGCACACTTATGAAAAAGGAAAAACTAAAATATCATATTGGCATAAGTATTCAGACCCTCTGAAACAAAACCTGAGATTTAGCTCAGGTGCCTTCCATTTCTCTTTATCGTTGCTGAGATTTTTCTACACCTTGAGTTCATGAAAGCCCTCTCGGAGTTTGCAAATGCTTTTTTGGACACTCAAAGTGGGCTTTCATGTGTTTTTCACTGAGGAGAGGCTTCTATCTAGCCACTCTGCCATAAAGCCCAGATCAGTGGAGGGCTGCAGGGATGGTTGTCCTTCTGGAACTCTGTCCTATCTCCACACAGGATTTCTGGAGCTCAGTGATCATTAGGTTCTTGGTCACCTCTCTTACTAAGGTCCTTCTCCCCCAATTGCTGCTTGGCTCTTGGAAGAGTCCTGGTTCTGCCAAACTTCTTCCATTGAATAATTATGGTGGCCACTGTGCTCTTGAGAACCTCAGTGCATCAGAATTTTTTCTTTGGTAGCCTTCCTCAAATCTGTGCCCTGCAATATCCTGTCTCTCATCTTTGCAGGCAGTTCTTTTGACCTCACGGCTTTTGCTCTGATACAGTATGAAGAGAAGTGTGTGCATTTCCAAATAATGTCCAATCAATTTAATTTACCACAGGTGGATTCCAATCAAGGTGTAGAAACATTTAAGTATAATCAAGAGAAATGGGAGGCACCTCTAAATTTCAAATTGTTGTAAACGGTCTGAATACGTATGCCAATGCGATATTTCAGTTTCTCCTTTTTCATTTGCAAACATTTCTAAAATGCTTGTAAATCAAAAAGTGGTGTGCTATAAATCAATCTATACAAATGTGTCTACCTTAAAATGCAAATAACAAATAATCTCTAGATCCTATGTCAGTGATATCAATATTCATAAATATTGTGTACACTTGAAATAAATAGCTTCCAGAGTCAGTGCAAAAATGAATTGTAAAAAGCAAGTGCACAGTGAAAGTAGT